CATTGTGCCACGAGGCCTCATTTGTGTTTTCCCTCAAACTAAGTAAAACTGTTAGTCTAAGAGTCATTTGCAATAACTTAGTTCCTGTGTGTTATGAGGTCTGTGCACAATGTTACCCATTAAAAATAGCTCAACTAACTTTGATGTGATTTGAACACGCAACCTTCTGATCTGGAGTCAGATGTGCTACCATTGCGCCACGAGGTCTCATTTGCATTTTCCCTCAAACTAAGTAAAACTGTTAGTCTAAGAGACATTTGTAATAATTTAGTTCCTGTGTGTTATGAGGTCTGTGCACAATGTTACCCATTAAAAACAGCTCAACTGACCCCAATGTGATTTGAACACACAACCTTCTGATCTGGAGTTAGACATGCTACCATTGTGCCATGAGGTCTCATTCTTACTTTCCCTCAAACTAAGTGAAACTGTTAGTCTTAGAGACATTTGCAATGATTTAGTTGCCATTGGTTATGAGATCAGTACACAATGTTACCTACTACAGAAAACTCAGCTGACCCTGACGTGATTTGAACACGCAACCTTCTGATCTGGAGTCAGAAGTGCTAACATGCTGCCATGAGGTATCATTCTTACTTTCCCTCAAGCTAAGTGAAACTGTTAGTCTAAGAGACATTTCCAATGATTTAGTTGCCATTGGTTATGAGATCAGTGCACAATGTTACCTACTATAGGAAACTCAACTGACCCTGATGTGATTTGAACACACAACCTTCTAATCGGGAGTCAGATGTGCTACCACAGGGTCTTTTTCTTTTTTTCCCCCCTCAAACTAAGTGAAACTGTTAGTCTAAGAGACATTTGCAATGATTTAGTTGCCATTGGTTATGAGATCAGTGCACAATGTTACCTACTATAGGAAACTCAACTGACCCTGACGTGATTTGAACACGCAACCTTGTGATCTGGAGTCAGACGCGCTACCATTGCGCCACAGGGTCTCTTTCTTCTTTTCCCTCAAGCTAAGTAAAACTGTTAGTTTTAGAGACATTTGCAATAATTTAGTTCCTGTGTGTTATGAGGTCTGTAAACAGTGCTGTCCATCATAAATAGCTCAACTGACCCCGACGTGATTTGAACACGCAACCTTCTGATCTGGAGTCAGATGTGCTACCATTGCCACACAAGGTCTAATTCTCATTTTTTCTCAAACTAAGTAAAACTGTTAGTCTAAGATACATTTGCATAATACAGTCCCAGTGTGTAATGCAGTCTGTACACTGTTGCCTATAAACAACTCAACTGACCCCAACGTGATTGGATCACACAACCTTCCAATCTGGAGTCAGAGACACTACTGCTGCACCACAAGGTCCCATATGTGCTAGTTCTCAAAATAAGTCAAATTGTTAGCCTAAAGGACAGGACTGGTCCATATGAACGATACAGCAACATATCCTCAGATAACATTTTAATGATAAGAAAATAGCGCACACATAAGAACATAAGCCTATCACATCACAAAATGCAATGGCATTCCATCTAATCATGTGGTATTCTTTTAAGAACAACCTATACCTAACAGACAGCGAGGTCGATTCAGTTAGCAGAGCATACCACACACATACTACTGTTTTGGAAGAGATAAGCAGAGGACACTTTGGTGTCAGTGAAGAAAGTCACTGTTCAGCCCCCACAACATCCTTAAAAAATATATTGCTGATGAACAAGGTTCCATGTTTTGGTGGTGTGGTGGCACTTTGTCTATTTAAAGTCAAACAGGCTGGTTCTGTGCACTGAAAACTCTGCTGGAAAATTGTGCCAGCTATACAGGAAGTACCGCAAACTTGAAGCACTGTCATCCAGTGAAATATACTGGATGGAAGTGCTTGCAGTCACAAACACCAGTAATTAGGCTTTCCCGCTTCGATGTGAAGAAATATGGGACAAACATATTGTGCTGGTTAAAAACTTTTCATTATGTCAAACCTGTTCTCTGGAATGAACAGTGATGCAGTGAGAGAAGAGAGAAAAAAACGCAGCGTACTGTCAGCTCCTGCTAGTGCTTCTCCCTACAACAAAAAAGGTTATTTTTGTACGTTTTATTAAAATTAGATTTCAGTGTACAATTCATTCAATTTGTCTCCTTTTTCATGTTCTGAATATATTTAAGGGCAAATCTAAGGGAAGTTGAAGCAAAACTTAGGCCAAGAAATAAAGAAACAATGGCTTGAATCATATCATGATAATCACTGATATCGACTGATATGGGGGAAAAATATATAGTGATTAAATATTTTGCCATATTGCCCACCCCTACTGAGAGAGAACCCATCTTGTCTGCAGAAAAAAAAGATATTTCTGTACATGTGGACTGTTACTGGTTGTTATGAGATATCACCAATGTAAGACATTAGAGCTTTGTACTGAGTATGTGCTGCTCTGAAATACATACTTAGACCAAGGTCACCTTGAGTCTGTACCACATTACGACAGCAAAATGTCTAGGGCAGTCAGCTGTACCACATAGTATGACTAGTATTCTTAAAAAGTTCCTCATTCTCCTGGCTGGTCCCACGGTTATTTCCGCCAGCATTGTTCCAGTGTGACCATGTTTGTGAGGACATCTCGAGCAGTGTGACCACAGTCCAGAGGGATAGTCTCCGTGTCAGCCGAGCACGTGTTGGAACGTGTCGCTGCCTGGCTGTGAATAATGTATTCTGCAAAAACACATAAACCGTCACGTTTACAGTCTGCTGAGTCATGTTTCTAATTTATTCCTGTGTTGGAATTGTTGCAGCTTCAGGGTAGCAGCTTGTGAGCCCACAACTGGAACTGTTTAATGATTTTTACCTCTCATGTCTGTGCATTTTCTTTCTAAATTCTCGTCTTTCACTTGGACACGCCACAGAGCCCAGCTCTAGGAGGCGGCCATTTTGTAGTTGGCGAAACACTACATTAACCTTATTCCTGAGTCGCCTGCTAATCCTGTGGGCACAGCAGCTGCTCTTTGGGCTTTCTAGGTTCATAGATGCTCATCTCTGTCAGCGTTTGCCTCTTCCTAGTGGAGTTTTGAGCAGCCTGGCCTTTCTGCTGCTCTGCGTGAACGTGGCATTTTCATTGCCTATAGTGGCGTAGTGGGAGGGGCCGTGCACAATACTGATCTTAAAATCCAAGGAGAGACGTGATTCTTTGAAGCTTCTAGCCAGGTGGGTGGGCTTAAACCAAGATTCCCCAATTCCAGGCTTGGAGGACCAGTCCGTCCCACAGTTTGCAGGTTTCCCTGCTCAAACACACCTTATTCAGCTCATTAGCTAACTGCCAGGTTTAGTGTGTGTTTCAGCTGGGAAATTTGCAAAGTGTGTTGTAGGTTGGCCTTCCAGGACCAGAATTGGGGAACCCTGGCCCAAACCATTGTCTGTCTGTACATCTTGGAAAGCAGGACGCGATAAAACGGGCATTTCTACCTCAATGTGAAAATGTTGATGTCAACTAAGACATAGACTGATAAAAGACATAATGGTGTTATTAAATGGAATGATTTTAAACAATACCAAGCAGAAAGGATTTGTGCACCTTTGCGTTGGAAGTCCACGCTGTGTCAGTTTGTAGATCTGTGAGATCAGAGTGCCCCCCCCCCCATTGTCTCATCGAGGGCACGGGGGAGCGTGACTTAAATGCCTATGCGTCAGCTTTGTGCTGTGCAAGGGGGGGGTATGATACGTATGCTGCCTGTCTTCTACCAGACTTCAGCAGTCAGGGAGAGAGCCCCCCCACCTGGCTTTGCTCTCCGCCGGATTCTCTCGCCTTCCCCTTGTGTGTGGATCTCACCTGCAGGCAGAGGAGGTGGGCTGTCAGGGCAGGACTGTCTGCTGGGTCAGTCCCATGCTGTCATCGCGTCGGTGCTGTCGTCAAACCGTCCTCCGTAGCCGAGTTTGATGGGCGCCGCCCCGCGTCGGGTTTCCCGTCCCCCGGCAAGTCACCCGTCTCTGGGAATCCTGGGGAGTCTCACGGGGTGGGGGGGCCTTTGATTCGCAGACGGCTCTGTAGTCCGCCTTGCGTCCGGCCGCTCTGAAGAGCTTCTTCAGGTGTCAGAGACGTGTTGGGGATGTGGTTAAGCTCGTGGTAACGGGGCGCCCCGTGTGTCTCTGCTGAGGAATGACAGGGCCGAGGACCCACTGCGGTGTTGCCAGAGAGGTTGGATCTTCGGAAAATTCCGGCAAGCACCTCACGGTGAGGGCATCAAAGGAGGCAGCTCAACAGCCTCCTCGCTTTCTCTTCAGATTTGGGAAGAACCTTCTGCAGGGTTTAGGACAGTTGTGAGCCACGAAACAGACAGTCACAATGTAAGTAAATAAGGCTCCCAGCCTGTCGTCTTTGCCTGGCTTTCTCTCGAGGTCTTACAACCACCTACATCTGCTCAAATGATTCGGTTCTTCTGCTTGGGTCTTGACTGTGATGATGAGGTAAATATTTGATTTCTGGGCCTTACGGCAATATTTTTACTTGACTGTCAAGGCTGGTTGTAAGTTTTATAGAAGATCCCTGTGTTTTTTTTGTGTTGTTTTCTCCACAGCAAAACTGTATCACAGAATTTGTAATGCACAAGGAGTTTTCTTCCTGTAAGTTTTAAGTCAAAGGCAGGCCCTCATATATATATATATATATATATATATATATATAAAATGAAGCTGGAAGACATGCAAGATGTATTGAGTGTCTGAGTGTTAAGGGAATATCTAAAAATGATCAAGGATTAGAGCCTGCAGTCGGAATTTTTTTCTCATTTTTTCCTTTTTATCGAATCAGAATTCAGCGCCTCGGGAATCCAGCCCCCGTTCCTAACTACTGTTCCTCCGAATCAAAAGCTGAGGCTCGTACCGTCGATGTTTCCCTGTTACTGCGGTATACCTCTCATATGTCTCTCCTGGTCCCACAGACTTCATTTCATGGGTTTCCAAAGGGGGTGCGTGCGTGGGTACAAGCCACAGCGGTGAACGCTGACTGGTGGCTCCTCGATCCCAAAGCGACAGTGTGAGATTTCTGTATGTGCTGGGAGGCCAGTCATGGAATTGGGGAAACATGGCAGGCACCAGTGTGGACAGCCCTGCTGTTCCTTACTCACAGCTGAAAGATGACCCGTGATCCTCACTGATCTCGACTGTGATTGGAAGGGCTGTTTAGGAACCACAATGACTCTTAAACTGTCGGTGTCCTGTCAGTGCTACATCATGAATAATTCATGTTGCGTCTAACAGAAGACTCGGCGCGTGTAGTTTTCTCTGGCGGGGGTCGGCTGTGAGGGACAGGCATCATGAATCAACCAACACGGCACCTCTGTCATGCAGGAGAAATGTTTCAGTCAGAAGATGCCACCAAACGGATCCCCCGGGGAAAGTTCTGGCAAACAGTCCTTGCAGTCAATCAGCATGAAAG